TAGTTGATTTAATTTTGATCATTTTTTATCCCATTCTTCCTTCAAACAGTTCAGGATTACTTCCAAGGTTCATCTCTCTTGTGTTATCCTCATAGCAATCCTGCAAAGTAAAGTAGATTGAGATACTACGTCTGGCCCAAGATTACCTGATTGCTTTTCAGTGTTAACTGTGAATTTGAATGGGTCTTCCAAATCTGAGACTAAGATCTTAGAGATTGGGAAGAATTTGGGGCCATATGCTACAAAGAGGCACAGAGAAAGAAAAAATGTTCCCGTTATGAACAGTACCATTACAGCATTGCTGGCACGTTCAACTGTTGTGGTAGTCCACTGGCCTTCTTGGAAAAAGATCAACCTCGATGTGACAACAGCAACAATGTTTACTTAATCAGCTTTCCAAGAAGGGAACAATCTAATTTTAACATCAAGAGTGTACAACCACATTAGGCTCCCATAATCCATTTTTTCTTCTAATTATTTCCAGAGAGCTGGGCTGGAAGAAAAAGGTCTGAAGCAAAGGAGCTATGCGAGGAGAGTATGACAGAAGACCCAAGAAGAATATTGTAGTTCCTTTTTCTTGCAAAATCAGATCCATTCCAGCACTCCCTCATATATTCATGTGCCGAACATATTTTAGAGTAACTTCTGAAGTGAACTAGCACAGCTGCTCTGTCACCATTTTGGCCTGGCCGTGATTAATTAATTATTCAGCCTATTTAATTTCTGGAATTTACTACACTAGTGAAAAAAAGTAGAGGCTTTTTTCTTGTCTTCTTATTTCCCAGGATATCCTCCCCAGGAAGGCAAGAAGAACTTAAATCTGATTAGGTGGATATGTGTTAAAAAAAAGAAAAAGAAAGAAAAAACAATTTCCAGAACAAATACACAATTTAAAATACTCAAATCTTATTAATTCCATGGGATTTAAATGCACATTATATTAATTTCACAACAATGCATGAAATGATATAAAGTGGTTCTCAGTTTAATGTCTATACCCTGTTCATTATTTCCTCTACTATGATTACATCTTCTTATACTCTATAGATTCTTTGACTTCATGCATAGCTTTTCTTGTAAAGTCTGACATTAACTGTAATTTTTCCTGTTCTTCCATAAGTTAGCATCTTAAGAGAAAAGGAGAACTGCTCTTTCTTTTGGGAGTCTTTCTTGTCTCAAAGAAATTGCTATATATCCCATATATAATTGGATGCCTCACCATGTTAAGATTTTTTTTTCTGTTAAACACTGAAGGAGTGCAATGTAACAAAAGGTTTAAATGTAAATGCAAACACACCTAATTTGGTTCTATTGTAGAGCAAATCTTTTTATTGACTGCTCTTTCAACGGATCAGGGAAATTTGCAACTGTACAATATGCAATCTCTCTCCTTCTATGGCACCTCACCAGCACACATAAAATCCCTGATGAAAAAGAAGTTTAAGTTTGTCTTGTTTATACAAATAAAAGTCTCTGCCACGTGCAAGGGATTATTTACACAGCTCAGGCTGTCCCACACCAACCCCAGAATGTCTTTGCCACATGCAAGGGATTATTTACACGGCTCAGGCTGTCCCAGACCAACCCCAGAAAGATGGAATCAGAACAACAGATGGGTGACTTGGCAACGGGTTTCCAGTTGTCCATGGGAAACCCACAAAATTTTTCAAGGGATTGGAGGAAAACTGGGTGTAAGTGCAAATGCAATTCAGACTAATACTTTGCACTGCTCAGTGTTATGTTCTGCGAGAGAAACCCAATACATCAATAATTTGAGGGGGGCGGAGGTGGAGGGTATTGTCATTGTCATTCAAAGTATGAAATCGGCACAATTTGTCTCACATTCTAGAATGGGGTGATCAGACATTGTCTTACACCAAGTCAGACCACTGATGCTTCTGGTCCAGCGTGTCTGACCAAGTTTAATAGCAGCTGTCCAAGATTTCAGATTTAGAGTTCTTCTCTGTTAGGAATTAAAACTGAAAAGGTTTTGATGCAAAACAGAAGCTTCACCACTGAAACACATTCCTTCCCAGTATGTTGAAAACACTGATGAACATCTCCCAAAGAAGAGCAGTGGAATCAGTGGAAGGGTGCCCTTTCCAGTGGGGAGGAATGGATATTTCCCATTGTTCAGTGGCTACTTTTTCACAAGCAATGTAGATTTTCCGTTACTTGACATTTAACTGCACAAATGCTCTTAAAACTGCATGTTTGTTCCTGGATCTGCAGATTTTGTGTAAGGATGCACATTTCATCATCACTACCACCACCAGTACTAACAATAACATCCTGATGAAGAAATTTATCATTTCTAGAAGTTTTGATAACTAAGCACCTGAACACCTATCTAGTAAGAAATAAGTCAGAGCTTGAGAAATTGGTATATTACCCCGATTTTTTTTTTTCTTCCCAGTAAGGAAACCTGGTATCAATAACATTCACACACAGCAAATGACCTCAATTAAGGCTTGAAATTCATGGAAGCTGTTCAGGTTTACATATCATTTCTTTGATAGATTGATATCCTGCCTTTCTCCAGGAGCTCAAGAGATTGTATATAGACATGATGTCCAGCTCAGATTCAGAAGAGGAGTAAGAGACCAGGATGATGGCTTTAGAGATTCCTAGAAAGCTGGATCCTGGCAAAGATCCATGTCTTCTCCATCTACCACTGAGATATTTAAGCAAGTGCTACCCAGCTTAACACCAAAATAATGTTGGTGACATCATGTGGAAGCCAAGCAAGCCCACTGATAGCAAAATGTGAGGCTGAAATGCTGGGCTTCATGGGAGTAAAGGCGCTTCAGGTAAAGTTAGTGCCAGGTGGGTCTCTATGACCTGCTATATAAGTAGGCACCCAGCCTATTGGACAAATTGTTATCATACTCACCTGCCTCACTGACCCATGCTCTGCTGCCAAATTGGTTTGAATGTTGGACTCCTCACATCTGGACTATTTTTATTCTTAAATAAATCGTTATTAGCTTATAAAATTTAACACAAATACCTAACAAATATATACTTCAGTATATACATCTGGACTATTTTTATTGATTGATCATATTTATATAGCTGCCCATATCAAAAAAGTGACTCTGGGTCAACTTTCAAGACTCAGTTTGAAAAACCCATAAATACATATAAAACAATCATTAAAACTACAGTATAAAAACTATAAAAACACACACAATGGGAGAGGGTGATGTTAACTATAGTAAGGGAGCCATCAACTATCGACTGTTCACACTTCTGCACCTGTCTCCTACAAACAACCCCTCCTGGACTCGGCTGGTCTTATTCTCTGGTTTAAAATCTTCTTTTATGAACTTTCTTATGTGCCAGCCACCTATCTCAGTCCAACCAATTTTAACCCATTTCCTCAGCACACAAGTACCCCCCCCTACCATTTTCCCCACAACAACTCTGTAAAGTATGCAAAGCCGAGAGATAATAACACGCCCGGTGGCTTAAGATAGATTTGAAGCTAGGTCTCCTTGGTCCTAACTCAAGACCTTACTCACTGTACCATACTGGCTCTAAAACTATATCCGACAGTAGCAAAGGCAACGAAATTCATGCTTAATCTACATAAGACAGAGACAATCCCATTCAGTCAAAAAATAAGAATCCAAGTTATGCTGGGATTGTTAGGAATTCATCCCATGTTGGACTCTCCTCTGTTGCAACAGCTCCATGTGTATTCTCCAGACCCCAGGTGTACCCACTTAGAAACCAGGGGTAGCCCAGTACATATACAGTATTTATTAAGACTGGACTCAACTCAAGAGAGTCTTTAACTTTTCAATGCAAAAAACTACTTGTGAACACCACAGGTCCAGAATATTTCATTCACACAGTTAAATGGGTGGGTTATAAGAACCATGCAGTTGGACAGGAAGCCCTGTATCGTATTGGATAAGATTATTCAACAGAGCACATACAAGCCTATCTGGGCTTTAGGACTGAGTAGAAGGCCTCCTCTCAATCTTCTCACCAGCTAAAGGAGCTTTTTCAAATTTCTGTGTATTGGGCTGTGCAAATCCTTCAAGAGAGGTACTTTTGAGAGCATAGGAGCATGTACAAAGCACCCGTCTCTGAATTGTAAAAGCTGTCTCTCTCAGCCTTTCCCAGCTGTCTGATTAGGCAAGGCATGGGCGCATACCCACCTACAAAGACAGCCAGGAGCACCTTCTGAAGCAGCCACACGACCTAAGAAAATGACGTGGCAATTTAGAAAGAGACACTCTGTACACTCTCCTGAAGCACCTCTTTCAAAGGATTTGTGTGGCCCTAGTAACTAATCCGCTGGATGCATTGAGCATCATATAAATCCAACAAATCAATAAATATATTCCCAAACATTCTTCAACTCAGCTTGCAGTCCACCCTTAAACCTTGCTTTCTAGCTAACACACAAGACACTTAGGTCTCTTTACAGCAGAATGCTTTATGGTTGTAATACTGTACATAAGAAAATGCTCATTGTGGAGCACTCATATGCCCTACTGCTCATGCTCCAAAGCCTGACAATGAGGAAGAGGCTTTATCCAGAAATAAAAAGAAAGGCCAACCTATAGATTTCCTTAGCATTAGGCCTACTTATTTCTCAAACTCTCCTTTATTTACTATAAAAATAAAAACTGGGTTTAAAAGATTATACTACTACCCAAGTGCCTGGGTGTGTTTTGTGCATGTGTGTGTTTAATGGGACAACAATCGCTTCTCTATATAGTCTATATTTCAGGTGGGCTGTGATTGTTCATTCTGAAAACCAGACACAGGAAAGCAATGGGATACTTTCTCTGCCTTTTAAATAAAAACTGACCATCTGGGAATTTCAGCTCTTCCAGAAGGAGCATCTGCTCCTCTGTCAAGGATACCATACCAAAATAAATCACACAATGGCCCACTGACTAGTTTTTCAGACCAGGAACTCTCCCCTGCTCAAGCCACCATTGTTGCTCTTTTTCTTATATTCAACTAGTAGTATTCCTTACTTCAGCAGCCAAATAGTTTCCAGTTGCCAGGTGTTTAAATCTGAATAGGCTATTCCATTGCCCTGCACCACCACGGCAGGGATCATGATGCACCACCTGCAGAAAAACACACATGGATATGTCAAATATTATCATCATAACACAGGAATTTTCTCTGATTTATCCCCATATCAACAACTCTGGGAACTGGCTTGGATCAGAGAGAGAGTGACAGGCCCAAAATCACCTCAGTGAGCTTGCACAGCTGAGGTGGACTTCCTTGTAGACCACTGGCTGTAATTGTGAGGTTCAGATCAGGCAAGACCAGATTCAAAGGACCTCAAAACCAACCTGGTCCTTTACAATATAACACATAGATGGCAACAGCTCATCCTACCAAAAAAAAAGTGAAAATGCATGAGCAGGAGAAAGAGAGGTAAGACTTGAAGCTTGGATCTGTTTGGGTCTTACAGTTAGCAGTTCCTAGTTTTCTTCATACTAATGACTCCTGTAATATCTGCAGTAAAACTCTTTAACAAGAGCTTTGTCCTTGAATCTCTGTTTACGAGCCTTCTGGTTCTAGCATTGGCCTAGTGAAGCTTAAAAATAATAAAGAGAATTCTGTAGACATCACCATTTTGGAAGTAAATTCTGCAACACAGTCTTTGAAACCTTCTAGTGATTCTGGGTGGTATATTCCCAATATATTTGGGGGTATCAGTATGGATAAAGCTGTTTCAAGAAATATGAAGCCAAGCTAGGTGAGCAATAGAAACGCCTCTCTCCCCAAATACCTCTATTTCCCACAGGGCTTTAGAGCTGGTTGCAGAAGTGGCTGACTGACGCAAAGTTGTGCGAAGGAAAATATGTTGCTTCTGCTGATATTCATCACAGGTCAGAAACTTCTCCTGTTCAGCATGGAACAACCTGACAACATCTCCCTGAATGGATGGAGAGATGGAAATAAAAGGAGAGAGACTGAGAGAGAGACTCACACAAACCATGTGCTTTGTTAGATTTAGTACTCCATAGACTTTCCATGTTTATGACAGAGATTCCAAATTGCTGGAGGGTGCAGAAGGTCATCAGATGATGTCACTGAAAGATCTAGAACCAAAAATGCCATCTTATTTTTCATGGTGGGGGGGAGCTAAAGGTGGGAATCAGATTGGGGGCCACCGGGGGACACACTCTTGACCAGTTTGCGTTTAAGAGATGGAAAAATTGGCCTTACAAATGCTTCCCACTCCTCATTCTTATTTTGGGTGGAGTGAGGAAATTATGGTTATCAAAATTTGGTTATTTGGCCACCAGCTTTTTGGTGCAAGATTTCAGAGCTATGAGGCCACAGAAGCCCACAGACTGCCTTCTCCTTCTTTATGGCTTTCCAAACCTATCTGACTTGTGATCTTCCTGAGAGGATGGAAAAGTACAGGATACTGTGCAAAGAAATAATCATTTTTTAAGACTGATAAACAGGGACTAGGAAGGAGCATCATATAAAAGGTATGTTTAGCCATTTTCAGAACAACCTGATACTGTACATTACCTGTTGATCATCAAAATAACTAAAAAAAAAAAATCCATACTTACACCTTTAAGCACATCTTCTCTGTAGCAACTATATTTCATGAATAAGGTTATTTTCCAACTGGTATTACAATTGACTGCATTTACCTGCATTCAAGAACACAAAGAATTGTAAGTCATATTATGAAACAGCCACATAGAAAAGTTTCTATACTGTTACAATCTGATAAATTACTGCTTACCAATATATATATTTATATCTCTTTCTGTTAAAATAGTTTTATTCCTCTAAAACTGTCCATTATCCCAACAGAAATTCCTACTATATCTGAAAAACTCAAACGAACACATTCAAAAATAACATTCAATACATTATAAATCAGGAGATACATGAGGAGATCCTGGGTTAACATTATTTGATCAGTCACCCAGTAATCTCATATTTCAATCCCATTCATTGTATAGATATGGCCACTAGGGTATATGGCCAGGGAAAAAGAAGACTAGGTTATAGCAGTAATAAGTAACAGTGTAATTTCATATATATTCATTGAAACTCATTCAATGGGGCTTCCTCCCAGCGAATTGAGCCTAGGACTGGATCTTCAGATTATTAGATTCCCTAACTGAAGATTCCATAATCAGAAGTCTATCTCTGGACACCAGTTGTTGGGGGGAAAAACAACGGGAACTGACCAGCACCTTCATGATGACTACTATGGCTTAAGATGTTTTGGATGGCCACTGTTGGAAATATAATGTAGGCCTTCTGGTTATTGCATTCTTATGTTTGCTAGCGGAATGGATGTCTCCATCTCTTCTCTTGACCCCAAATACGTCCTCACCTTCCCATAACAGAATGTATCAGTGTGAAAAAAAACTTGCAACCACAACAGGTTAATACAATGACTCAGAACCTTACTCCTATTTTCCAGAGCATTAGGTCTCAGGTGTATGTTGAAAAAGAGAAAGAATTTATGGCATGGGCAGAATGAATGGAATTCATCCAGGGAGAGTCATGCTAAATGGCAGAGGGTTACAACAGCAAAGAATGTGAATGGTTGCTAATGATATTAATCAAGCCAGTGTCAGGCAAGGCACGACCCCAGTGGTAACAGAAAGCTGATCCTGATCAGATATTTTGGAACAAGCCTCCACGTGGAATAAGACAGCAACATATCAAAACAAGAGTGTAAACCTAGTTAGATGCATAGATTAAACCTACCTCCTTGCATCCTGGATTATCCAAGAGTTCTATGTTGCTGGCGTGCAGTGGTTGTCCCGCATTAACTGGCATCAGGACAACTTTATCTCCAACAACAATCTGACGTTGTAAAAAGAGTCATATATTATCATTCATTAAAAAAAAATTACTTCATGAATTTTATTCTTATTGATTTCTACACATCTGGATTCTATCTCATATCACAGATTCTTACTGCTAATATATCCGATATCCTTTGTCCAGTAAGAACTTTGTGGTTTTGGACTACAATTAATCTCATCTTGGAACTAACCTGTTTCTATTTATTTTCACTGTAGTGATTTTATGGGGTTTTTGGTGTGTATATTGTATATGGTATTTGTTGTACATATTGTATATTTGCTTTGTATTTTGACAGTTCCAAAAGTCCTCTGGCTGAAGAGCAGGATAAGAAATACCCCAATTCAATAAATATACACAGAGAGAGAATACAGATGTAAATCATTAGTAGGGATTTCTCCGTTTCTAATTTTATTTATACGTTGAGATAATGTAAGGAAAATTTGTTTTCAGGAAAATTAACTTCTAAAAGTGCCACTCATCCAAAAAAAAAAAAAAAAGTTATGCTATATGAAGTTGCTGAAAGCAAAAATACTTTAAAATCGTAGTGGACTAGCATTTGACAAGACTAGTCTAATCACAAATATGTCAGCTACTGTATGTCAGCAACTGTCTGCAACTGCACAGGCACACACACAAATGGAGACCATGGTATGACTTAAAAAAAAGAATACTGGATTTACAGGAGAGAAGTCATGCTTCCTTTGGATGACGTGCACAGCTATTACAGCTGGCTGTTTTACTCATTCCTCACATTTTGAGTGTAAGCAAAATCCATCCTTTACCTTGTTCCAGAAAAGTTACATGGGTTTAAAGGAGAATTAAAAGACTGCTTGTCTGACTGCAATCAAGTACAGTCATGATGGCTTTATGGATTGCTTTTTTAATTGAATCACGGTGTTGCTTAACAAGCTCCAACAGTGTGAAGACCCCTTGTTCTCATCTCTGAACATACAGTCACACCATTCTATAATTTGCTCCAGATAATTTCTCCCCTCTTTCCTCCCAGACACACCACACATCTTCTGAGTTGGGCAATTCTACATGTATCTTTAAACAAAAAAACAGTCAGAGACTCAAGAGAAATTACCAAGCAAACATGCACAGGCAGCTTATCACAAGGGCAAAGTTACAAGTGCACAGTCACCCACATCATGGCATTGATATGAAACAGATGATCCCATGCTCTATAATTCAGCACGGTACTCTACAAAGCTTCTGGGAGAGAAGTTTTCATGCATAGTTTACCAATACTTCCATATTTTAAATACCCAACAGTTTGTGACCAGCTAACTTGCAATGGTTTGGAGAAGAAGGAATCTACTGTAAACCCAAAAAAGAAAAAAGAAAAAGAATGACATGGATTCCATGACCTTTTCTCTATTTTTTGGTTGCAAAATGAGAAATAGAGCAATCACAGACAAAATCTCTATGCTCATAACATATGTTCACATGTTGATGGGCTACTCTTCGAAAATCAGAACATCCACAATGGGATCATGACGTTTCTACACACAGAGACACTTTTATGTAACTCAGGATGCATTGCATGCCATGCTGCTTAAAAAAAATTACTTACAGCTATGTCAGGTCAGAGAAAGTATTAGTAAAGAAACCTGCAGAATTGAATCAGTAATTACAAAGTTGCTGAAAGGAGTAATCATGAAGACGATATTAGGAAATGAAACCTCTATGTCTGTGGTCACAAGCCAGCAATCCCATCTCTGAATTCAGCTTTGGGACAGCTCCAGTTAGACATCTCCAGATACGTGTTCTTTCTTACCATTATGGCCATTACCCTACTATTGCTTTGGAGAAGCTATCCCAACCAGCCTTAAAAACACTGGAGTTTGAATCCAACACTTCTAGAGGGAACCAGATTGGAGAAAGCTGTCCTAGAAGGAAGGGCAATGTCAACATAAGATCTTGACCCTTGAACGAGCTAAAGGGAATTGAAGAAGATAAGCAAGTAATGATGCAACAACTGCGACTCTGGAGTCTGGTTTTCTACATTTGGGGAACACAGCCAGGAATTCAAAGGAAGTATGAAAGTGGGAGAATTAGTCCACAAAACAAGCTCGAAAATTTCCACTAGCTCCAGTGATCCAGCAGATGAGATACTAAACTTGCCTTCACTTCTTCAGCCTGAGGAGATGGCATGGCTCTCCTTGGTCACTGAGGACTTCCAGAAATCCCACACTCACCACCTCCACCTCCTGAGCACCACTGCAGGCTTCACTTATCAGAAGCAGTTCTTACTAAGAGCTTCATTTAAGGCTCTCTCTGGGTTTGCTGACACAGAATATCCAGAACACTTGCTACCTGCTGTTTGGCTGTGACCTTATTCAGACTTGACTTCTCCTCTGTTTGACATTGCCTGACCAGAATGTGATCGTGGAATTGCTTGACTGTCATGCTTCCCCTATCAGAATTTGATTCTTTGATTGCAGATTCTATTTTATGACTGCCTTTTAAAAAATAACATCTCAAGATGCAATGGACCAGATGTTCACACATCACAAAGGAAAGACAACAAGGGTTATACATTTTGTTTCCAGAATGATTTTGGCTACAGAGGTGACAATATTCTAGCATCTTCCTGATTACTTCCAGCAATATTTCACTCACTTACATTGTCCCCTTCACTTCGCAATTTCCAAAAGGGCT